TCTCATTCCCTTGCAGCATTCCTACACGGAGGTTTCATTCGCAGCAGTGTTTATCCTGGAAGTATCTGTTAGCACAAAGTACTGAAATCAATTGTTTTGGATAGGGACAAGGTGTTCCTCAGTCACTTCTGAAAATAGCTATTCAGGTTGCAAGAGACTGTACTTAAGAGGAGCACCACACATCATCCCAGATCGATGGACAGACGAAGGTAGTCAATAGAAGTGTGGAGACATACCTGCGTTGTTTTGTATCTAATACGCCAAAGCTATGGGCTAAGTTGATTGTATGGGTTGAATATTAGTATAACATGTCATACCACACCGCATCATAGATCATCCCTTTCAAGATATTTTATGGACGAGATCCATCTCACTTGGTACTTTATGGGCATGGTGCCACACCAATATCTAACGTCGATCAATACTTCTAGGAGAGGGGCAGGATATTAGCAGGGCTCAAGGGACATTTATTAAAAGCTCAACAAATCATGAGGAGGAAAACGGATGAACACAGAAGAGGTGAAGTTTGAACCATGAGATATAATCTACTTGAAGCTGGGGTCCTACCAACAAAAGACATTGGCCAGGAGGAGCGAGAAACTTTCACATGATACTTTGGACCATATGAGGTGATGTCACGTATCGGAAAAGGGCTTATTATTTGAGGTTATCACCATCGTCTGCACTACACCTAGTCTTCCATGTATCACAGTTGAGACGTGCTATTGGAGATCAAGTCACCTCACCTAAACTACCGCCAACATTGGCAGAAGACTTGGAGGTGATTTTGGAGCCGTTAGAGATCGAAAGAGTGCGCCGAGGAGTAAGGGGAGCAAAGGAGTTATTGGTTAAATGGAAGAGGTTGTCAGACTATAAAGCAACATGGGAGCCTTATGAAGAGATTCACAACTAGTTTTCATCCTTTCACCTTGAGGACAAGACACTTTTTTGGGAGAAGTAATGTTATGCCCATACACAAGCCACTCTACCCTAGATGGCTGGAAGCGATATAGCCGGCCCAGAGACGGGTCGGTCTTTGCGACGGGAAGAAGTGAAGCGGACAAAGGGAGTCGCAAAAGGAAAGGATATGCAAGGAGCATAAAATAATGGATTTTAAAGGGAAAGTTGGAAGGGAAAGTTTTTGAAATGCTATGAGAGGATACTATTAGAGAGAGAACCTAAGTTTGCTTTCTTTATGCATTATTATGTTGGCTGCTGAGTTTTCTTCTTTTGGTGATGTTCCTAGCGACGTCTAGGGTGTGGGAGAGTCGATCAACCTCTTAAAAGTAGATCATTTTTTTGTATATTACTTTTTTGCATTTGCTTTTCGTAAGAGCAGCCCATAATTGGCTTATTTCAATCGATCTATCGTCATTTCGTTGTTGTTTCTTACTGATTTTGGTGTCCAGGCGTATTATTACTCTGAAATTTTAATAAAATTCGTCAAACTTAACAAAGTGGATGATCATTGATTAAATTAGTGTTGATTACATAAAATCAAATAATAGATCTAAAAAACTTTCATTAGTTTTCAAACAGTTTCAACATTTAAGAAAAACCGTAAAATAAAAAGAGCTTCTCCATCTTAAAAATAAATACTTGTGGCAACTCTTCTGGTACATAAAATCAAACAGAACAAATTATGATCAAAATAGCGAATTTGAATAAGAACTTATTGGTATGTCCACGTTCAATGTCATGATTTGTTATCGGATGAAAAATGATCTGCTAATGAAGTCTCTCTTGCTGAAAAGGGTACAGCTGATCCGCGAAGTGATTCTGGTCCTTCTGTTGTAATTCTTTTGCATAATGCATCACAGTTACTTATGACCTCTGTAAGCCTACCTTTGAGCTCTCCAACCTCTATCTGTAACTGATTCACTGCATGGTTTGCAAAATAAAATAAACACAACAGTAATAATGGACATGAATATTATACTACGAGTTTTATTTTCTACAATGTAAATAACATCCAAAAAAATTTGCTCTAGTTGAGGATGATCTGCGATTTGGATATTCTAGGGGCCTTATATGCATAACATTGAATTTCTATGCTTTTACATCTTTAATATCTAATTATTTATGTTTACCTATATGACATTCCAATCACAAGATGAAATCAACAATAACACTAACTTATATAAAATTATGGAATATTTTGTGAAAGAGCTCTCATTTCATTAACATATGGGCTTATAGAGAGCCTTACAACATTTACAAATATATCCATGCACTTCTTCTATTTACATATATTACCCTACATTAGAAACAAATCCCAACACTCCCCTCCAAGATGGGCAAAAGATGTCAACTAAGCTCATCTTGTCACACAACCTAGAAAAATCTTATGAAATAAGTCCTTTAGTGAGGCAGTCAGAGCAACCTGCTCTCTAGTGGCTACATGACTTAGCTCCAGTAGACAGTTATTCAACTTTTCCTTGATGAAACCTATCAATCTCCTCGGGTTTGGTTCTATCATGTTGCACAGGGTTGTTAGCAACGTTGATCATTGACTTGTTGTCGCACGACTACTTCATTTTAGTTCCTTGGTCCATCTTGAGCTCTGCCAATAAGACTCTCAGCCACATCATCTCAGCAACTCTTAAGGCCATGGTTTTATACTCTACCTTTGTTGTTGACCTTGCTACTATTGATTGTTTTTTGCTCTTCCTCGAGACCAACTTGTCCTTACAAACATGCAGTATCCAGATATGGACTTCTTGTCATCCATAGAACTTGCCCAGTCAAAGCTACAAAAGCCCTCACTTCTTACATGTCCATTCTTGTTGAAGATCAGCCTCTTTCCTAAAGCACTCTTCAGGTTCCTTAGAATTTGATATACTGCATCCATGTGACCCTTCCTCGGATCATGCATGTGATGATGCACCATACTTACTGCAGATGATATGTTGGGACGAGTGTGACTCAAATAAATGAGACGACCTACCAAACTATAGTAGGTCTTGCGATCAACTGGCTCCCCTCCTCTGCGCTCAATTTTCCCTTCTGATCAATTGATGAAACTGCGCGCTTGCATCCGAACATGTCTATCTCTTTGAGCAAGCCTAGCACATATTTCCTCTAAGATAAAACAATCCTCTTTACTCCACGAGCCACCACAATTCCAAGAAAGTATCTCAACTGCTTAGGTCCTTCACCTCAAACTTCTTGTACAAAATTAACTTCAGCTAAGCAATCTCTCCCCCATCATCCTCAGTGACAATCATATCAACCGTATACACAACAAAAATAGTAATGTGGCCACCAAGTCATCGAAAGAAAACTGTGGTCAGAATTGATCTGCCGATAACTCATGCCTACTATTTTTTTCAGAAGTTGTCGAACCAGGTCCGAGGGAACTGCTTTAAGTCATATAATGACTTCCTAAACCTACACACCTTACCCACTGTCTGTGATGTACTGAATCCTAATGGTATCTCCATATATACCTCCTTCAGTAGCTCCCCAAGAAGAAAAGCATTCTTCGCATTCAGTTGGTGGAGTCTTCATCCACTATTCACTGCTAGAGAAGTCAATGTTACCACTGTGCTCATCTTTGCGACTGGTGTACGGATTTCATCGTCGTCAATGTCATATGTCTGGCTGTACCATTTTTTCAATAGTCGTGATTTGTACCTCTCCACCTTCCCTTCTGAAGTTTATTTTACCGTGAAGATCCACTTACATCAAATTGTCTTCCTCCTTGCTAGTAGTGGTACAATCTCCCATATTCGATTTATATCTAAAGCTCTAAGCTCTTCATGCATCACCTCCACTTGGGATCCTCTTTAGCAATCTTCCATCACTTAGGTATAGAGACAGAGTCAAATGATGCATTAATGCATGTTCCATGCAAATGTAAAATGTTAGAATAAGAAACAAAGTTTGCAGTGTCAAGTTCTCACCCAAAACGATCAAAAGGATGTCATGCATTGCTGCAGGAGGCCCTCCTTAAAGTTGGGGGGTAAGAGTACACGAAGGAATAATATCATCTGAGTGTTTTGGTTCATAGGTTGATGGTGTAGGTGTCTCAAGAGTTGGGGAAGACCAGACAAAGAACTTGTTGGCACAGTAGGCTCTGTTCCATCAATTTGCTTCTTCCTCCGTGTATGCACCCTTAGCTCACCTTCAACCAAAATTTCACCACCTCTGAGGGTCAATCTCATCGATTTTCGTCTCCTCAATTGATTCATCCCACATCACAGGACATGGCATTTCTCCCACTTGTACCACTCCACCACTACTCACTCTATTTTGCATCATATCTCCAGTGGTTGATGAATCACCCAGGGCGACTTCACTTTTAGAGTTAGTATGGTTCAAACTCTTTGAATGATACATCCATACTCACAACGAGCCTCTTCCCAATCGAACTCCAGTGGACATAACTTTTATGAGTAGCAGAATAACCCACGAAAACACATTTCACAGCTCTGGAATTCAACTTTCCTACAGATGGTCTATTATTTTTCACGAAGCATACACATCCAAAAACATTCAACGGAAGGATCCCACTATTGTCACTTTTCAACATCTGACAAGGAGACTTCCACTTTAACACCCTTGAGGGCATTCTGTTAATCATTTGAGCTGCTATCAACACTGCTTGCTCCCACAAGTATTGTGGGACATTCATTGTCACCATCATGCCCCAGGCTACCAATAGAAGATATTGATTCTTCCTCTCTAATACTACATTTTGTACTAGTGTGTATGGACATGTGGTTTGGTGTATCTTTCAAGTTGACAAGTAGTCCTCAAATGCTTTGTTGATATATTATTTCTCATTATCAGATCTCAGAATCTTCACAACTGCACCATATTGAGTCTGGATTGTCTTGTGGAAATCTTTAAAACAAGCAATCACCTCAATCTTTTGTTTCATCAAATATATCTAGATAACACCAACAATTAATAAATGTAGAAAAATACTGATAATCATTCATAGAACTAGAAAAAAAATTCTCATACATCAGAATATAACAAATCAAACACACCAGAGCATCTATTCCCAAATTGACATAAGAGATCCTAGTGAGCTTGCCAAACTCACAAGCACCACACCAATTTCTCCTTATTTTCTTTCCCATGCATAGATGGATACAACCGGCTCAGTATACTAAGACTAGAATGTCCCATACATCTGTGATGTAGCAGTAACACATCCTCAACGCTCCTCCCAAATTCTCCTACTACAACACTTTCCACCATTGATGTCAAAGCTGAGTTCATCCAGTCTCGGTCCAAGTACAAGAGTTTATTATGCCACGTTCCAGTCCAAGTATCCGGCCAGTCCTTTTCTCTTGGAAGACCACCTAAGGAATATCAAAAGAAATAATACATTTTAACTGGAGAATAATGACATTAATGAATAAAAGGTTTACTGAAAAAAAAGAGGCATAAAACATTAAACAAAGTCATATGATTGGTACATCCCATTGTACCCTTACCAACTATAGGATGTGTTGCACCAACAACCGTCTTTATACTCTCGGGTACTGATAGATGAGCGTATGTGGAGAACTCTCCAGTAGTACTTGTCATGTGATGAGAAGCACTAGGATATATGCTTCAATCTGATGATTCTGTGGTGGAAATAGACAAGAACAAGTGTCACTAGTACCATTGTTGAAGCAAGCATAAATGACAATGTTACCCCTTGATGTCCATGAATTGAAACAGCCTCTCCATCAATTGTTATTTCTTGCTTCCTCTTCAACAGCTCCAGACACATGATTCTCACTAGTAAAGATCATACATATCTCTCCCCTGTCCTCTGTTACCATCAAATTTGCCCGGTAGCCCCCTCTTCCACCTTTCCAACCGCCCACGACCACAACAATGACCACAACCTCTACCATGTCCATGTCCTCCTGTCTCTCTCCTTTGGTGGCTTAGGATAGACCCAGCCCAGATGGCTAACTTCACCATAGTTGTAGCACTTGCGTGTCTCCCCTGGACACTCAGCATACCTGAGCTCGTAGTAGCCAATGCTGATCGTGCACTTGAAAAACCAATCGACTCAAAGTGCTGCTTCATGTGGCTCTTCTCCTGTATCATCGACGCGATGGCCTCATCTAATGTAGGAATAGTTGTCTGAGTTAAGAGAACCAATCTCCCCTGATCAAAGGTCGGGTATAAATGAGTCAGAAATTGCATAGTCCTCATTTGTGCAAAGATCTCTCCATTCTTACACCTCGGATCACCACAATTTGACATATATGAGAAATGATCAAGATCTTGCCACAGCTGCTCCGGGTCTATAGAGCACTCTTGAATCGATCTATCATCCAAAACCACAACCTCTATTTCATGTTGAATCTACAACACCCTCATGTGGTTCTCAGCTTCAACATAGATCCTCTTCAGCTTCGGCCAAATATCGTTCACATTCTAAATGTCATCCACTAATGAGGCAATCGATGGAGCCATCTAATTGAGTATCCAAGTGTAAAACAAGGCATGTGTGGTCCTCCACTCGTCCCTCTCAACACTGTCACTCTTTGGCTCGACCCCCGTAAGGTATCATTTTAGTCTCTTCCCTACTAGAGCAGCCTTGATCCGATGCGACCAACTCAAATATGTAACCAGTCCATCGAGTTTCAGATCCCAGAAGGGAGATCTAGCTTCATCTGTATTAGAGCATGTGTTGGCTTTTGTCGATCTATATGAGCCCAAGCAAGATCTTTAAAACTTCGAGATCTATCTTACCCAAGAGCTTCAATTCTTTACCTCCTGCACCATCCCCTTCTGCTTCCTCACAGGAAATTATCACGACTTTCCTCCGAACAAAAAAAAACAAAGCATTACATCGCTTGTTACATCTTTCCTAGAGAGCAAATCAATCAAGAACACTCCCAAAACCAGCGCCCACTTCTCTAGTTTTGCAGCAGAGAACTCTAACTCTATTTGCGACTCGATGCCTTCATAGTTTGGCAGCTGTAGCACAGCAATTCTGTCGCATCTTCCCTGCTCAATATTGCATCCTTACCACGATTTCCCGGTTGCTTCGCAGTTAGCTCTGATCGCGGTTGTACGACAAGTTCGTCATGCCCGTCGTCACCATCTTAGGTAGCCACGCACATCATCGGCTTTCCCATCTAGCTTCCTAGCAAGATCTATCGCGATCAAGTCTGTCTATCCCGTTGGTGTCGCGATCCCATCAGCCTTCCCAACGAGCGCGATCTCATTTGCCTTCGGGATGTGGCTACGTGAAGCGATGATGTCTGCCTTCCCCACGCAAAACAATCTCTTCTGCCTTCCTAGCGAACTCTATCGAGGTTGCTACGTGAAAGAAATGAAGATCGAGTTAAGGTCGGTTGGCTGCTAGGTTAGGACGCTGATATCATATGGAATTATTTTGTAAAAGAACTCTCAATATAGAGTCTTACAATATTTACAAATAAACTCTTGGACTTTTTCCATTTACAAATACAACCCTATATTAGATACAAATCTAAACAAAAATAAAGTGAAATTTGCATAGATATCACACAATTCTTATGTATTTACATATCTTGCAAGATATTTACACTGGCAACATCTTGGTGTCATAAATTTTTACATGAAAATGTTTATTTCACTTCTAAAAATATAGTGATTATGATAGTTTTTTTATAGGATCTTAAAATTTTGAGTAGCAGGTTTGTAAATATGAATGCTTAGGTGTTAGATATGTAAATAAATAAGAATAACACTACCTCCAGTAAGGCTGCGCGATGCTGTTCTTATGGATGAGACTGAATAATTGAAACGTTGGAGAAGCTTCCCAGTCAAAGCATCTGCTGTCTCAATCATGTTCTCTATCTCCTCCTGTGACATTCCATAAATGAGGTGATGCACATCCTCATGACAGACTAAGAAATCCTGAAAATCTGAGGCTATCAAGAAACGAAGTAGACTACCAAGTTTTTTTTTGACAAATCGATTTACATGTAAGGCTATGAACTGAGAAGTACAGTCAAATTTAGAATTAGGCATAATTTGGAGAAATTATGACTCAAGATAGCCTTAAATTTATTAAGGATGGGTTTTCTACCTTCTAGATTACTTTGAGTGTAATATATGACTAATCAGTCAACTACTACATTACTCGCTCTTCTAAAAATATATCCAACGGGTAGAAAATCGATCCAGACCTCAAGGTATCCTAAAATAATATTTTTCATGCTAAGTTAGGCTTTTTCTCCGTGTAGTTTTTGGGATGAAAAAAATAATCATTCCTCTAGATTTCCTAAGACTCTGTTACAAGATAAATAGCAGGGGAAGGTCACCACATTAGGAAAGCCACAAAATCCTCATGCTAGGAAAAGGAAATAGAAATTACCAACAATAACTAATTTTCATAGAAACTACTAAAAATAGAAAATAATAAAAATAGAAGATATCAAAAAAGAAAGTTCCTAAAATTCTGACACCCCCTCTCAAGTTGGAGCATAGATATTTATCATGCCTAACTTGCTTACAAGCAACTCAAACTAGGCCTGAAAAGTCCTTGGTGAAGCCATCTGTTATTTATTCCATTGTCAAAGTGAAAGACATGCTAATAGCTCCACAATCAATCTTCTCCTTTATGAAGTGTCTATCAATCTCCACATGTTTTGTGCAGTCATGTTGCGCTGAATTTTTTGCAATGCTTATGGCAGCTTTATTATAACAGTAAAACTTCATTTGCATGTTTATCGGGATCCTTAGTTCTTCAAGAATTCTCTTCAGCCATAACATCTCACATACTCCAATAACCATGTCGATATTCTGCCCCAGCACTACTCCTTGCCACTACATTTTGTTTCTTACTTCACCATGTAATCAATTTTCCCCGAACATAAGTATGATATCCGGACATCAATCTTTTGTCAGCAACCAAGCCCGCCTAATCTGCATTGGTGAATGCCTGAATATTCTATTATGTGGTCTTCTTGAAAGAGTAAACCCTTACATGGTATACATTTTAGGTAATTGATAATCCTATTAGTTGTTTCAACATGTTTTTTATATGGCAAATGCATAAATTGACTAATCAAACTTACAATAAAGGCGATATATGTCCGTGTATGAGATAAGTATATCAATTTTCTCACCAACTTTTGATAGCAAGCTATATTTTCCGAGTCACCTTCCTTCCCATCTCCCAGTTGCGATTAGAAAGATTTGGGGTATTTGCATTCCTACAACCACTCATCTTAGTTTCCTTAGAAGATCAAGAACATACTTCTGTTGGGAAATAAGAGTCTCTTTCTTCAATTAAGTAGCCCCAATGCCAAAGAAATACCTCAGAAAAATCTTTCATTGGTTTATTTTATATTTGTTATCTTCAGTGAGAACTATATTGTCCATATACACAATCAATATAGTTATATTCTCATCATTTGAATGTTTGGAGAACATTCCATGATCTCCTTGCCATTGAGTATACCGTTGACCTTTAACAAATAGTAAATTTTTCAAACCACATGCTCGGTGATTGCTTCAACCTGTATAAGGATTTTTTTAATTTATAAACCTATGTTGAATTTCTTACAAAATCCTAGAAGTGCATCCATATACACTTCTTACTCTAAGTTCCTAATCAGAAATACATTTTTTATCATAAATTGTTGTAGGGGGTCAATCAAGATTAGTTGTAAGTGGTAGAAGAACTCATATAGAGTTTAGTTTTACGACTGGGACGAATGTATCTAAGTAATCAATGTCATAGGTTTGAGTGAATCCCTTGACAACCAGTAGAGCCTTCTATCTTTCTAGAGACTCATCAAAATTATACTTTATCATAAACGCCCATTTGCATCTAACAGTTTTCTTCCGTCAAGAAAGATCAACCAATTCCCACGTGTCATTTATTCCAAAGCTTTCATCTCCTCGAAGACAACCTCCTTCCTCATAGAAACTTTCAAAACATCATGCAAAATATTAGGAATTTCCATACAAGACATACGTGTGATAAAAGCCCAAAAAATTGTTGAGAGAATTTCATATTACACAATGAGAGAATGGTTGTTGAACGCAAGAACTCACCCCCTTACAAGTAACAATGAGATGATTAGAATCATTAGATTTAAGATTAGAGCTAGACTCAGGTTCAAGGCTTGATGATTCAGAACTTGAAGATGAAATGGACTAATCATGGGATAAAAGCTCAGTGGGGATATTACCTGGAGGATTCATGGATTCTAAGCGATGCAAAGGATTGGCAAACTTTTCTTTTGAGTTGACCTTTGTTATGAGTAGACAATGTCAAATGATACCAATGTCGTAGCTTTTTTTTCCTCCTTATTAGTGATTATAGGATTATGAACATCATAAAATGATACTTTAGGGAAGATCCTAGTCGTCTTCCATATCTAAAAAACTTGACCCACCTTCTCTTGATATTAAATAGCTTGGATTTTCAAGTTGAATGATCAATATTGGGGAGATTATTTTGTGAGTTTTCGGTTTCAAAAAAGTCCTAAAAACCAGTAGTCAAATCTTCATTTTATCACTCCCGTTTTGAAGAAGGGGTGAAGAAAATGAGTGCTTAAAAAAAGGTGACGTATGAAGAAACAAGAAATATGATAAAAACATGTATACTCCTTTTGGGTTGGAGCATAACCAACACACATTTTATGGCTCATGGTTCAAATATTCCTTGATTATGACTATAAACGTGAATAAATGCAATGCATCCAAATTTCTTTAAAAGTAATGAACATAAAAAATGATTTGTCAGGTAAATTTTATGAAAAATATCAAAAAGTGTTTCAAAAGTCAAAATTTTAGTAGGTGTTCTATTAATGAAAAATGTTGCAGTAAGAATATTTTCACCTCAAATATATTTTGGTATATGATTTGTAAATAATAATGCTCGAGCTACTTCGAATAAGTATGTATCTTTTCATTCAGCCACATCATTTTGTTGTGGGGTGTCAACATAAGAACTTCGATGAATTATTAATTTTAGGAGAAAAAAATTAACCAAAATATTTTTGAAATACTCTCAGCCATTATCACTTTATAATATTTGAAAAAAAAAATTAACATCGTTTATACCATGGTGTAAAATTATTTAAAAATTGTTTCCAGTTCAGGTTTTAATTTCATTAAAAATGTCTAACTTAACCTTATTTACAACAACAATAACAACACAACCTTTATCCCACTAAGTGGGGTCGGCTACATGAATCTTTTTTCTCCTATTTAGTGTCGTCCTATTTAGTGTCGTATTTTCATTTAATTCTAATAACTTAAGATCATTTTTTATATAATATGCCCAAGTCATCATAGGTCTACCTCTGCCCTTCTTTACATAAGTCGAATCTAAAACATCTACTCTTCTAATCGGATCATCAAATGGTCGACGTTTAATGTGACCAAACCATCTAGGACGACTCTCTCTAATTCCGTCTGTCACTGGACCTACACCAGCCCTATCACGGATATATTCATTTCACATTTTGTCTCTAAGTGCAAAGCTACTCATCCACCTAATCATTCTCATCTCGACAACATTTAACTTAGTTTTATGCTTCTCTCTTAAAAGCCAACATTCAGCACCATAGAGCATTGCAGGTCTCACTACCATCTTATAAATTTTTTCTTTCAGTCTAAGCAGTACTTTTCTATCACACAATAGGCCCGAAGCATTCCTCCACTTCAACCAACCAACTTAAATTCTAGTAATAACATCACCATCACTTTGAACAATAAACCCGAGATATCTAAAACGTTCACACCTTTTAATAATTTGGTCACCCATAGTCACATTTCTGTCATTAGAGCTACAACTACTAAAATTACATTCTATGTATTCAATTTTAGTTCTACTTAATTAGTTCTACTTAAACGTAAACGAAGGCCTTTAGACTCCGAGGTAGACCTCCATAATTCAAGTTTTTCGTGAGCTCTCTCTTTAATCTTATCCACAAGAAGGATATCAGCAAAAAACATACACCAAGGTACATCCTCTTGTAAGTGTCCAGTAAGACAATCCATAACTAAAGCAAAAAGATATGGGCTTAAAGCCAATCCCTGATGTAAACAATAGAAATAGGAAAATATTTGGTTAATCCTCCTTCTGTTCGAACACAAGTAACAGTTCTTGTATACATATCTTTAATGACTTGAATATAAGTCATATCAACACATTTCTTCTCAAGAAATCTCCAAAGGACATCTCTGGGAACCTTATCGTAAGCTTTTTCTAAATCAATAAAAATCATATGTAGATCCTCCTTATTATCTTTGAACCTCTCCATCAAACCTCTCAATAAATATATTATCTCTGAACTTAACCGTATATGATCATCATTAAAGATAAATCAATGTTTTCAGAGTGTGCAAGATGTTTATAAAGACCTCAGATATAACCATGAATCAGAGTAAAAGATGTAATTAGTTTGTAAATTTAGGGAAGAAAAGACGCATGATGATGTTTGGCAAACTGAGAGACTTCACATTGAAAAAATAATATTTTTATTTTGAAATAAACCGAGAAACGGGAATTTTAAATACTGAATATTAGGATGACCTAACATATCATTATCTTTGGAAACAAAAAGAAAATTCAAACAAGCATTGCTAATTCCCATCAAGGTCATCATCAAAATAATAGTGCCCATCATTTTACTTAGCACTGTCAACCATCCTCTAGTTGTGAATTCTTGAAACTCAATAACAAAAGTAAAAATAAACTTGACATGAATAATCATAAGCAATTTTGCTAATGGACAATAAATTATAAGACGAATTGACAACATTTAGCACACCACGAGAGTTAACAACGATGTGAGTTTGACAGTTCCAATTTCGACAATTACTGAGAGGGAACCATCGAT